TCGTAGCTGTGACGGTTCCACCTGAAGACGGAAGCTTGTGTTGCCTCCGAAACGTCGTGATTTTTATTTTATTTTACTTTTAGTAATTTTAATGTTTTACCTACGTGACTTTACCGAAAAAACCTAAGAATATGAGTCCTTGCAGTCACAAAAGCTTCAAATCTAGAATGGGGAGACGTAAATTGGGGTATTACTCTAATTAGAAAAACAAATCTGTCTCTCCACGGAGGTTAAATTGAGCAGAGAGTTCGCTTTTATTGAATCAGCGATGCCAAAATCATGCATTCGTGGAATGCTTCCGGGGGCTGATTAGGGTTAGTGTTCCAGATATATTTGTTTATATCATGGGACATGTTGCCAGAATAGATTTTACGCTTTCTGGCAATGTAAGTCCTGTTCGTCTTCTGGTGTTCTCTGGTCTGACACTGGTGAGACTGGGCGATAACAAGTATAACCCGTAAAAACAAAGTTTTTCACTATAAATCCATTATATGCGTGGCGGCTAGAGTCCTCTCGTCCTCTGGCTTGAGATGGCTGCCACCTATGGGTCAGATGATTGCATTGGACCATTAAGCAATTGGTAATGAAATATAATATTTTAGTCCTAAAAAGTGTAAAATTTTTGAAAAAAATTTTCACGAACATTAATTGTCACGCACAACGAGTCTGTGTGGAAAATGTCAGCTCGATTGGATCACGGGGAGTGAGTTAAAAAACGACCGAAAGATTTGCACGCACGCAAGCAAGCAAGCAAGCACGCAAGCACGCAAGCAAGCAAGCAAGTGAACTTAATATAAAGGATTTAATAAGTATAACCCGTAAAAACAAAGCAGCCGTCCTCAGGTGACCGAAACGTCGTGAGAATTATATTATTTTATTACGTTTTGTTTTTATTATTTTATTACTTCCCTTCTACGTGACTTTACCGAAAGAACCAAGAAGATGAATCCCTGCAGTCACGAAAGCTTTAAATCGAAACCTCCCGATTTATTGCCAGAAAGGATAAAACCCGATTCTTATGTGTTACATGTGTTTGTGTACGCTCAGAGAGAGAGAGAAATTTGAAGGGAGGCAGAGTTATTGCTGGTCTCGTTTTGTCTTCAAAGACGAACGGATGCCACTCAGTGCACGGTCAACCTTTCCAGGAGGTGGAGCCTCACGACTCCAACTAAGCTCCGTTTGTGCCGTTACCCGAGCGTTCGTGGCAACAAGCAACACAACGAACGCAAGCACACTCTGAAACCTTTAATTTCGCTCTCTCTCTGTGTGTCTCCCTCCTTCTCTCTCTCTCTCTCTGTCTCGAATAAATTCCGTAACACCCACGGAGTTGTACATCGATTACTCCTTCCAACCCCCGTTTGGAACGCGTGCAACGAGCGGCACACAGAGGACACGGTCAGCTGTTCGGCGCAACAACGTAATCCACTCATTGCTCGTGCGTACATATTTGGGTATGCACGGCTCAGGAATGCTCGCTTCGGCATCTTAGCAAATATTTTTTTTCATCAAATCCGTGGGGGGTGGGATTTCTTGAATCCATTGACTGCGAAGTCCAAGGGAGGTGGATTGCTTCGTGAATTAGGGCTCATGATGATGATGATGATTTTTTTTCTTCGCATGGATTACTTTAGATCGAGGTTGTTCATGAGTCAAGATGATTTGCGAGTCAAGGCGTTGCGGAGTTGTTAATCGATCGCTGTGATAGTGCATCCTCCTTCTCGCGTACGCATCGGACACCGAGGCGTTGTTATATTACATCCTTCTATGCTGGGTGGTGACCACAGCCGCCAACCATCATCGTGAGAATGATGGTGATGACGTGTGAGCAACTTCACCTGCTGGTAACGAGAGGCTGACTGTTTCGGGCAGTACAGAACGTAGGGATTGTTCACAGGTTATACTGGTAGGAACCTCCTGATTACACCAGCCCACAGGGGATTATTGTGTCCGTCCGTCCGTCGTGCAGGGAGGGGCTGGGTGGGGAGGGAGGGGCTGGGTGGAAAGGGGAGGTTGAGGAAGGGCTGGGTGGGAGAGTGGGGCTGGGTGGGGAGGGGCTGGGTGGGGAGGGTGGGGAGGGGCTGGGTGGGTAGGGGCTGAGTGGGGAGGGTGCGGCTGGGTGGGGAGAGGCTGGTCACCCCGTGGTGCCCTTATACAACGCAACGTTTAACCTACTCACGCCGGCTTGTGCCCGCCCTCACAGTCGGGCATATTTGCGGAATACACCACGCCGCTGTTGACCCTGGCCATTGACCGAGCAACCCAACGTTCCTACCAGCTCCCTACGCAGGAATGTTTCTCGCACCTCCGAGTAGCGTAAATCAGTGAGAGTGTTTTTGTTTGTTTGTGTGTTTGTTCAGCATACGTGTAGGGTAACACAATCACTTAACTAAATGGCCAAACAACGTAGCGACCTCGACGTCGCCCCGACCAAGCTGCCCGTGAACGATGTTGACGGGATGTCTCCATCACAATGCGAGCAGCTCTAGATTTGAAGTTTTCGTGACTGCAAGGATTCATACTGTTCTTTTTCCGGTCAAGTCACGTAGGTAAAAAAAAAAGACACACTTAAGCGGTTGTGCTTTCGCTAAGTTGTCCCCGCCTGAAGAAGGACGTTTGTGTTGCGCCCGAAACGTCGTGACTTTATCTATTTATTTAGTTATTTATTTTTTACCTACGTGACTTTACGGATCGTCACTCACTGTGGCGCGACAGCCAAACGCCGCTATCAGAGCTACGCACTATTAAACACAGAATGAAAACTCGCGTCTCCAGCACTCCTTTTTTGCGTTTAGTTTCGTGTCCTTCCCCCGCACCTCCGATTAGCACGGTTGGCTACGTACGGTGCGAAAAAAGTAAAAAAACACACATGTATACGGGGATCTTTATATTTGTTTCGTGTGTGTTTTTTTAAACGCCTAAGCAGTCGCTGCCATGTATGTAGGACTCGGTTTTACAAATAATTCGCTGTAATGAGTGTGCCAATGTTCGGGCTGAGTTATGAGTTGTGATGATATCAAGAGATTTGCGCTCAAGGAATTAGTTTTCTTTTTTTCATATTTCCCACGGGGGGATTTAAAATGTGGAAGAAGAAATTACGAAGACCAGTCCGACAGCTTGGCCGATATTCCTGGCCGCTTGGGACAAATGTCAGTCAATTGCCTATGGCGAACCCACAGCATAGACGGCACCAGCTAAGTGGAACACAGCTGCAATACACGCTGTCTATTTATTTACTTAAATCACGTGGCTGAGATCCAAGCGGTTGCAACCACGTGCCCGTATTTATACTTCATTTTGCTACCCACCCACACATCCCACCCACCCCATCGGACCAACACAATCACCCCCCTTGCCCAACGATCCACAATGGTACGACCCACGCAACTATAAAATCTACATTCTAACAAGCTCTCGCCAGGTGCCTGTCGCCTCTGCTGCTGCTGCCGCCGCCGCTGCCTGGAATGCGTGGAGCCTCCACCACCTCCTCCTCCTCCTCTAAACAGTGGCATCGCCCTCAAGTGCAAGTCCCTGTGTGGCCCTGCATTGCTCAACGTGAGACGCTGCTGCTGCTGCTTCTGCTGCTGCTGTGTTACACGCGCGCACGAGTGAGTGAGTGAGCGTTACGTGCCCGTCGGCTCCGCCTCGAATGAGCGTACTTAGTGCGCGGTGCGTCCACATCGCTACCGGGAGAGACAAAGGCGGCCGGGCGTGGTGCTGGCAAACTACCCCCTCGTGTGCCACGGTGCCGGCCTTCATAGGTGCTGCTACTCGCTAACAGCACTTGTCCCAAAAGTATGTTAAGCCTATATGGGGAATCTTAGTCTTTATATGTTTGAGTGTGGGGAGCGGTGGCGTAGTGGTTAGCGCGCTGGGCAACGAACGCGAGGACTCAAGTTTGAGTCCCGCTCAAGGCCAACATCAGTGACGATTATCTAAAGCAGTCTTGGGCTTCCCCTAGGTCGACTCAGCCTCAAACGAGTACTTAGTGCAGTGTGTTAATATCGCCACTAGGGAGACAAAGGCGGCCGGGCGTAGTGCTGGACAACTACCCCCTCGTGTGCCGTGACGGCCTTCATAGGTGCTATTCGCTAGCTGCACTTGACCCGAAAGTATGTGAAGGCTAGACGGGGAATCTTTGTCTTTGTGTGAGTTTCTATGGCGGTGCAATCGTTAAGTGCTGCGTGATCGTGAGAGATGAAATCTGGGTTCTATTCCCGGCAAAGGTTAACATCAATGAGTGTGGTGTGTGCGTGTGATATGTAACATGTTTCTGGATCTCCCCTAGGTTGACTCAGCCTAAAAGTAAATACCGGGTACGGTGTGTAAACCATCAGCACCTGGTGAGACAAAGGCGGCCGGGCGTGGTGCTGACCTCCCACCAGAGGTCGCAACCGGGTACCCGATACCCGTACCCTACCCGATACCCGGCTACCCGTACACGGCTGGGTACGGGTACGGGTAGCCGTTTGCGACCCTGGTGCGGCCGGGTACGGGTACGGGTAGGCCGTGAGTCACTGGTGAGTAGCCGTTTGTCACTCATTTCGGGTAGGGTACGGGTACGGGTAGGGAACGGGTACCCGTACCCGGCCGGGTACGGGTACCCGGGTACGGGTACCCGTTTGCGACCCTGGTGCGGCCGGGTACGGGTACGGGTAAGGAATCAAAACCCGTTTGCGACCTCTGCCTCCCACCCCCCTCCCCTGTGTGCCGTGCCAGCCTTAATAAGTTAAAGGATCAATTGGTTTAACCAGGTGATCATTATTTCCATAGTTTTTCTGCTATACATTGCCACGTGACGATGATAAGCCACTTCATTGAGCTGTCGTCTGTGGCCAGGTCGCTTCTGAATAGGAAGCTAATAGCTTGGTTGGACTTAACCTGGTATGATAAAAAAAGTTTAGTAAGTATTTGTATATTTGTTTAACTTTTCCTGTGCTTTGCACTCCTATCGTGGGTTTTTGTATTGTTTCTTGTTGTAACGCTCTGACAGCACATGGGATTCCTCCAGCAATACATAAATATTCTGACTCGGATAACTCAAGACGCCAGGGCAGCCTTGCTCACAGCACTAACCCCAACAGCCTATTTCTATATATCGGCTATACGGGGGCGGAAAAAAAAACACTTTTGCTTGAAGCATAGTTAAAACTTAGCTCCGTCGTCGGTATAATAACCATGGCATAGGCCCACACATTGCTATCGGTAATTTTAGCACTACGCGTTCCGACCGAGGGATATTTGCAGCCGGGCAGATTATTTTTAATGTTGGAAGCTCTTTCCACCACCGTCACTTGCACGCCTGTAGCGGCATCGCTGTGTTTGCTGCTGCTGCTCAATAATTCGAAGGCTGAGTCGACCTACAGCCAGGGGGTTGTGGTGGTGTGGATGGGATTCTGAATCCGTGTAGTGTTTTGTTTGGGACTTCCCGCCGATGGACGATGAGCACGATGGCTGTGGGGCGAGTGATCCCCTACAGAGACGGCGGCGTTGGCGGTCGTGGCGGTGGTGCCTTGCCAACATGCACGCGAAGCCGTTCCGCGGGCAGTGTTACTCCAAACTCCGGCGGGAATGCCTCTCGGCGGGACGGCCTTTCGAAGACCCGCTCTTCCCGGCGTCCGACTCGTCCCTGTACCACACCAAGCCGCCTCCCGCACACGTGGAGTGGAGGAGACCCACGGTGGGTTGGGATTGGGCTTGGGATTTGCGCCTCTGTCTGTGCAAAGCGTGCGAACAACCGATGCAGCGGCGTTGCGTGGCACCGCGGCGATGAATCGCGGAACGTACGGAACCAGCGGCGGTTCCGATCGCGCGCCAACGTCGGAACAACGTTGGCACCAACGTTGCGTGGCACCGCCGCGATAAATCGTGGAACGTTGGAACCAACAACGCTTCCGATCGCATGCCAACGTCGGAACAACGTTGGCACCAACGTTGCGTGGCACTGCGCGATAAATCGTGGAACGTTGGAACCGACAACGCCTCCGATCGCATGCCAACGTCGGAACAACGTTGGCACCAACGTTGCGTGGCACTGCGCGATAAATCGTGGAAAGTTGGAACCGACAACGCCTCCGATCGCATGCCAACGTCGGAACAACGTTGGCACCAACGTTGCGTGGCACTGCGCGATAAATCGTGGAACGTTGGAACCAACAATGATTATGATCACGTGCTAACGTCGGAGTAACGTGGGCAGCTTTACTGACGGTGATTTATGCCACCCAAACAATCTTATCAGTTTAACACGTAGGCTTTCGCGACCAATATTATTCATAATAAACGTTTTTGCCCGATGATGCTGGATGTAATTACCAGCGAAACGTCGTGCTCAAAAACTGTAAATGTTGTGGTTTCCCTCTTCGACACACCGGTGGGCTAAAGTAGTGAACTATTTAGTCTTTTGTCAACGTGACACTTTTTTGCTGATTGGCCGTGTCGGGTGGTGAAGTGTTACGAAACATTTATAAATAACGCGATCGAACCCAAAAACGTTGATTATGAAACAATCTTATGTCGAGGGCAAGTTATTTTGGGGCACTCATTGAAGGCTGAGTTGACCTAGGGGAAACCCACGACTGGTTTCACACGTGACTTCATTGCTATGTTGCTTGGCCGTGAGTGAGAATTGAAATCGGCTCTTAAGGGGCATTGCATCACCGCTTGTCTCGAAAGCAAAGACTAAAACCGATCCCCGGTACAGCCTTCGCCAGACTGGTGGGGAAATACTCTTAGTTCTTTCGGTAAAGTCACGTTGGTAAAAAATGAAATTGAAATTAATAAAAAATAAAATAATGGGGAAAGCCCTCTCGGTGGGCATCTGTGAAGGGCGGCACGGCGCGCGAGTGGATGGTGGGTGACCACCACAGTACCCGGACACGCCTTTCGTTCTCCCGTGCTGATCTTTTTAAATCCTTTATATTAAGTTCACTTGCTTGCTTGCTTGCGCGCTTACGACCGTGCAAATTTTTCGGTCGTTTTTTAACCCACTTCCCGTGATCCAATCGAGCTGACATTTTGCACACAGACTCGTTGTGCGTGACAATTAATTTTGGTGAAAATATTTTTCCAAAATGTTACACTTTTTAGGGAAAAAAGTTATATTTAATTACCAATTGCTTAATGGTGCCAGGCAATCATATGACCCATAGGTGGCAGCCATCTCAAGCCAGACGACGAGAGGACTCTAGCCGCCACGCATATAAAGGATTTATAGTGAAAAACTTTGTTTTTACGGGTTAATTTTTTGCACACTGCACCAAGGCCGTGATTGTAATATATTGGGGGGGGGGGGGGGGGGGACACATCCCCCCCCCCCCAATATTCAAATTTGCTCCAAATGCCCCCCCCCCCCCCAATATAGTGCTATAAAATAGATTTCTGTTGATATGATTGTGGTTATGGTTGTACTTTATTAATCCATAATCTCTGCCATTACATACAATGAAACAAGAAAAGGTAAAAAAGTAAAAACAGAGCAATGTAATACAATACACTATTAGACATTATTGTTAAAAAGAAATAAAAAGTCCATCCCACGTGTTAGTGATTTATTTAATATTTTAGGCAGGAAATGGCAGGAAATTAGTTTTCAAATTTAGACTTTTCTGGGGGGGCGGGCGGTGGGGGACGACGACCCCTAGACCCCCTGGAAGATTTGGTCCCCCCCAATGTTGACTCCATGGCTATGGCCTTGCACTGCACGAGGTGGTGACTCATTTTAGGCTGCCTGGACCTTGGGGAAGCCCAGGACCCATTCATAAATTCGGTCGCGAACGGGAATTGAACCCTGTTGACTGGGTTGGTTACGCTGTGCGCTAACCACTACATTGTACATACACAGACAAGCTGTAGTAATTGGGTTGAGTGATAACCACTACACTACTGCTCTCCGTGAAGACAAAGATCCTCCGTATAGTGCTGTTAGCGAGCTGAGAAACTACGAGCCGAAGTGTGTGTGGGGTGGTGTGTGTGTGGTGTGTGTGGTGTGTGTGTGTTGGTGTGTGTGTGTTGTGTGTGGGGTGTGTGGTGTGTGTGTGTTTGGTGTGTTTGGTGTGTGTGTGTTGTGTGTGGGGTGTGTGTGTGAGGTGTGTGTGGTGTGTGTGTGGTGTGTGTGTGTTTGGTGTGTTTGGTGTATGTGTGTTGTGTGTGCGGTGTGTGTGTGTGAGGTGTGTGTGTTGTGTGTGTGGTGGTGTGTGTGTGGTGTGTGTGTGGTGTGTGTATGTGGTGTGTGTGGTGTGTGTGTGTTTGGTGTGTGTGTGTTGTGTGTGGGGTGTGTGTGGTGTGTGTGTGTTTGGTGTGTTTGGGTGTTGTGTGTGGGGTGTGTGTGTGTGAGGTGTGTGTGGTGTGTGTGTTGTGTGTGTGGGGAGCGGTGGTGTAGCGGTTAGCGCGCTGCGCTATGAACCTGGCGACCCGGGTTCGATTCCCGCTCACGGCTAACACCAGTGACGATTATCTGAACCGGTCCTGGGCCTCCCCTAGGTCGACTCAGCCTTAAATGAGTACCTGGTGCGGTGTGTAAACATCGCCACTAGGGAGACAAAGGCGGTCGGGCGTGGTGCTGGCCACCCACCCCCTCGTGTACCGTTCCGGCCTTCATAGGTGCTCGCTAACAGCACTTGCCCCTACAGTCTGTTCAGGCTATACGGGGGAATTGTGAGGGCCGAAACCCACCTCCCCGCGAGCGGCCTGGGCGCAACGTCCACCCCCTCCACTCCCCCCCTCGTCAGCCGCCTCTCGCCGGGCCCCCGCTGATGGGGTGATCGCCCCCCCCCCCTCTCTGAGGGACATCGCTGATTGGCTGGCTAACCACCGCCCGGGGTTATCCCGCACACGCCCACGTACACCACCACCACCACCACCACGCAAAGCGAACGCGGAGGCGTGCACGCGCGCGCCCCTGCAGGCGCGTATTTCGCGCAAAGGTCAGCGCTCAAGTTGGAGACAACTCCCCCAATTGTCCCGGGACAGGCCTCTTTTATTCTCTAAACTTCAAAGGCCCGGGGGGTGGTAAGGGGGGTGGGGACGTCGTGCCGCGCAGCCATTCATGCGCCAACCTTTAGAGTTTCAACTGATGCTCCGCCCTCACCTGGAGCGTTATCTTCCGTTACGCCTCGAGCCATTGTCTACGCGCCCGCCCTCGATCCCCTACCCCCGAGTGGGGGCGACCCCCGTTGCCCCTTCATCTGGAAGCGCTCCCGTGCTGTTTGCCAACTTCATGAGCCACCCTCTGCTAGGCGGCGGCTGTGGCCAACCATTGTCCCTTTGTTTCTTGTGTCCTTCCTGCGAAATGTCCCGTCCTCCATTCTCCCCTCCGAGTTGTACCTCATTGCGGTTGGCCCAGGGAATCTTTTTCTTCCTGCGCCCGTACAATTTTTAAGCCAATTTAGGGGCACCGCCAATCTCCTGGCACCGGGAAACCGTGGGACTCTCCATCTAGGGGCCCTCCGGATTAAACCCCGATGTGCCAGGCAACTCCCCATCAGGACACTACTCTGTGGGTGCGCTGAGTGCGGGGGCCGGGAGGGGATAGCGGCGCTTGTGGACTTGCTCCATGGTCGTGGCACCACAAGTGTGTTTGTTGGGTTTGTGGTGTGTGTGGTGCGTGTTGTGTGTGTTGTGGTGTGTGTGGTGTATATTGTGTGCGTTGTGGTGTGTGGTGTGTGTTGTGTGTGTGGGCGTGTGTATTGTGTGTGTGTTGTGTGTGGTGTGTTGTGGTGTGTCTGTGTGTGTTGTGTGTGTGTGTGGTGTATGTGGTGTATGTGGTGTGTGGGGTCGGGTGGCTAAAGCACAGCAAGTTGGCACAGTAGGGGGCACAGGTGGTGCATCAGCCAGTCATCTCGGTCGTCTCAGTCAGTCGCCCCGTGACCTCCTGCCAGCGGGCGTTCGACACTTCACGTGGCCTAAAGGTGCACATGGCCTAGCATAAGCGTCGTGGTGACGTCACCGCCACTTAGTGGCGAATGGCGGTTGTTGTGTGTGGGGAGTGTGTGTGTATTGTGTGTGTGGTGTGTGTGGGGTGTGTGTGTGTATTGTGTTCTCCCCCGCTCTGCAGCCCCCCCCCCCCATCCTGCACCCGTCCTCCTTGGCTCCTCCCACTCCTCTTACCCTCCTTGTCAATCACTTTCCTGGCTCCGCCCACACCCCAACCCCCCCTCCCCCATCATGCACCTGTCCTCCTTAGCTCCTCCCCCTTCACCTTCCTGGCTCCGCCCACACCCCCCCCCCCCCATTCTGTACCGGTCCCCCTTGGCTCCCCCCCTCCTCTGACCCTAAGTAACAATGTCTCATCACAAATAACTCTCGCTACAGTTATTTTGCTGTGCCTTTGTATTACACCTGATGAAGGAGGCTTGTGTTGCCTCCGAAACGTCGTGATTTAATTTAGTTGTTTTCGTTTACTTTATTTTATTAATTGTTTTACCTACGTGATTCTTAGGTTTTTTCGGTAAAGTCACATAGGTAAAAAATCAAAATTCATTAAAGTAAAATAAAAATAATATTTTACTTTTAGTAATTTTTATGTTTTACCTACGTGACTTTACCGAAACAACCTAAGAATATGAATACTTTCAGTCACGAAAGCTTCAAATCTAGAATTACCTACGTGACTTTACCGAAAAAACCGAAGAGTATAATGTGGGTGTGTTGGGCGTGTGTGTGTGTGTGGTGCGTGTATGG